GCGTCGACAGGTAGACGTTGACTTTCATACTTATTGACTTCATATGTAGCAATTACCTGACTCAACCAGAATGATAAGTGAGGTACGACAGATTATCTAGCCGATGTTTGCTCACCATGCTCGTCGGAACGACGAGTGAGCATCCCTATTTTAAGATATATGGTGGGGCAGGGTACTATCAGCGTAGAATCTGCGCCCCTATCCGACGGAACAATGGGCACTATCATAAAACTGCACACAGGCAAAAAGGTGTATTAAAAATTGATTGACAGACATAATATAAATTACATACGGTCCTGTATACATAATTAAATCAATATATTTTTGGTCCGCACGCTACTATCTGTCGGGACGACGGGTGCACATTGAATGTCATACCCATTACTTTACCTTAATATTGTGAGAGAAAATGTTGGATTCGAAGGTCAAAAGGCAAAGTTCAATCACCATGTCCGTTGGAACGACGAGTACACATTGACCTTTATATCATCATTTTAATGTAGTCAACCAAATTGGTAAAACGATGATGTAAAGTTCAATATACAATTAGCGTCGACTCGCGCACTATATCCGTCGGTATGACGGGTATACACCCTAGCAAATCGCGGCGTTTAACATGCCAATATATTCTACTATGCACCATCAGAACGACGGGTGAACACCATAAAAGAGGTGGGTCAATGAAACATGATGCAATCGTCCATCGATTCACTAGGGTGCAGGTATCGTCTAATAATGAATGACTGTATATTAACGCGTTCCAGAAATTTTCTAATGTGTACCCGGTGGAACGACGGGTTTACATTGGCCTGCATACACATTGAATTTAATACCTATTAATTTACCTAATTTGACCTGATATTCTAGGCAAAGAGATTGACCAGAAAATCCGTCGGAACGACGGGTACACACCCTAGTTATATAATAAAAGAATACTGTCCGTCTGTCTGTCTGTCCGTTTGATCCTTTTCCGGCATTCGGATTGGCTAAATTCTGTTTTTGTTTCAATTTTGGATTGGCTGATTTTGCAGTGGCTGACTATGCATTTTTGTACTGATAATTACATGTGCAGATCTCCATAACAGAGTTTCCATAGGTCGTGCTTTTATTTATAAAGTAAATATACGAAACGATGGCACACATACGTGTTCATATTTGATAGAAACTCAGCTTATTTATAAAAATTAGATGGAAACATGCTTTATAATCGTTTCAATTCATGGGCTCAGTGCGTATATAATACACTAGAAGTTGGCAAAAGCAAGCGTTCTCATCAGATTGTATTGAATTGCTTAGAATAAGTGATGTGACCCATATGTATTGTATTTGCAATTTGTATATATTGTTACATGAGGAAATTTCCGTAATAGAATTTAGTTCATCCCCGGGTGTCCTTATGTCGTGCTTCTATCTATAAAATCAATGTACGAAACGATGGCACACTTGAATGTTCATATGCATCATTACATATTGCAATATCAAACACATGATTTTTTAGATATAGTAGATAAGACACATGCTTTCGATTCGTTAGTCAAAACATGGGCTCCGTGCTCATATAATACACTACAAAGTGGCAAAAGCAAGCGTATTGAGCAGGTTAAGGTGGATGCAGGTACAACAAGCGAATCGAGTCAATTGTAATGCATCATACTTATTCATTTTCCTGAGTCAACCGGACATTCTACATTACGGAACGACAGGTTTACATTCACCTTTATACCCATTAATTGCCATTAAACTGGGTATATAGAAGTAAAATGATGGGTACGAAGATCAAAAGACAGACTTCGCTTACTGCGTCCGTCGTAACGACGGGTACACATTGACCTTTAAAACGACAAGTATACAATGACCGGCGTCGACAGGTACAATTTGAATTGCATACACATTGGCTTCATAATTTGGCAATCACCTAACTCACCGGATATTTAAAAGCAAAAGGATAGGTCAACATATCGATCTTCATTGATTATCATAATTATCAATTTATATAAGTCAACATATATATCTTGGAAAGTGATGAGCAAGTATAATTTCAGCAATTTGTTTTGCTTCATGTCCGTCGGAACGGCGGGTGAACACCCTGAATGGTACAATACAATATGCTATTAGCATAGAGTTCGCCGTCATTTCCGTCAGAGCGACAGGCACACACCCTAGCAGCGGTGACTTCGCGCAGCGTTCCATCAAAACGACGTGATATAAAATCAATAAAGACACGAATTTAGTATTTTCGAAGACTTCGCGTACTAAATTCGCGAAATGACAGGTAAATACCCCAGCAAATTGCTTCGTTTAAGATGCCTATATATGCAACTTCGTACCGTCGGAACGACGGGTGATCAAATGAAACCTTTGCGTACGACGAGTACACATTGACCTATATATCCATCTATACCCTGAGTCAATTCAATATTGAATTGACTCAGGGTATAGATGGATATATCTGTCACACTCTCGAATGCTGTCGTGTGGTAGTCGTTACTTAACCCTTGCATGAAAACGAGAGTCCGTCCCCCAAGCTTGTTTGGATCTCACACTGAATATCTTCTTCGGAAGGTGGCCGGTAGTTGTGCTATAACGGTATAAGCCGAAGGCGTTAAGGTCCGTAATAACGGTAGAGACCGTATCCCTTCACTATGACTTCGTAATAAGTGTCGCAAATTGTCTTAAGCCGTGACCTCACACGGGCGAATTAGCATACCAATACGATTAATGAGGAAAAAACAAAGACCAATAAGCCAACTAGGCAGGTATAAGCCAACTAGGCAGGTATAAGCCAAAAGCGAAACTCCAAATCCTCTCCCTGCAAGGGTAAGGTGTAAGCAAAAACCAATTGCAAAGGCCAAAAGCCAACTACCAATACCCGCAAGGATAAAGGCTATAGGCCAAACGCCTACAAACACTTGATTACCTAAATAATATTAAAAATAGTGTACGTCCATCCTTTCATATGTTTTAGGAATGTTGATTGGCCAACTTTATATTTTGCAATAATTGGTGTATGTCGCACTTTGCATTAAGATCTCTACTACAGATTATAGTCCTTACGTGGTGCTACAATTAAAGATGGAAATCCCACGGTCGCGCCGAAATCGTCTGGCCCGGGAGCGACGTTTTCGTCAGCGTGCCAAGGAGACGGAAGAACAGCGAGCCGCACGACAGCAAGAAGCGCGCCGTACGCAACGCACCCGGCGGCGACAATATAAGAACGTGGCAGCAGAGCGCGAGCGCAACCGAGTGGCGCACGCGAAACGACGAGCCAAAATGACCCACGAAGATGCAACGCTTGAGCGCAAGCGCAATAGAGTGGCGCACCAGCAAGCTCGCGCGGCCGAACCGGCCCTTCCGGTCGCACGTCGCACCGTTTTAGCTGACGAGCTGACGCAACGCTATGTGCTGAATCGGGCAGATGTGGTCTGCCGCAACTGCGCAGCACTTCATTGGATTCAGGAGCGAGTGCAGGCTTTCGGCTAAACCCTGGCAAACCCGCAATTTTTGCTGTGCTGTGACCGCGGCAAGGTAGCTAATATTCTACCGCTAGCTATACAACGTAAAGGACAAGGCACAAGATCGAGACGGCTCAAGTGGTCAGAAGATCAAGTGAAATCAAGTGGATCAAGTATCTATATTTGGATAAGGCGGTCTCAAGGCAGACCAGGGTGACTCATAGAGCACCCCCCATACAACTTTCGATCGCGTGAGGATTTTCCACGTGATCGACCCCCCGACCAATCCCCAACCCTGGTCAAGTTCAGCATCGACTCAAGTCCACCGAGAAGAGTGCAGCCCGCCCTACCGACGGGTACACAAGGTGAGGAAGGAAAGTTACACGGATACGGGGTACCCCCTCCGTTAGTCGGTCGTCTGGGCGCCAGTGGAGAGTCGGGATAACATCAGAAATTTTGTGATCGCCACTCCACCACACTTGAGCTCATGTAGTCTCCGTCGTAGATGCACGCGGTTATGCAAACTTTGCCGCAGGAAGAATTTTTTCAGAATACCCCATTCCTCTGCGGTTGATTTTGCCATGCGCACCATTGACTGCAAATTCGTGCTAATCATGTAGTTACGATCACAAAGGCCTTCATGTCATTGACTTCTAAGCTGACGCCTTCTTCTGGGGCTTTCATAGCATCCAGATGATCCAGCAACCCCTTCTTCGCCAGCCTCATGCGCACGTTGAATTCCCGCGCGAAGTAGTTATCTTCGCAAAGTATATTGCTTGCGCCGAACACAGTCGGGCTCATAACCTGGTCGGATATGAGGATGGCCAAGGGTGTTATAAGCTGTAGTAGCTAAAAGAAGGTAATAAGAAAAGGTAATAAATGTTAGCTAGGTACTTAGTTCGCTCCGATGCACTACCACCTCTATGACTATTAATATCGATTCTACGGTATTACTAACTAACGATGATTCGATGCTCATTGTTACACACAATCCGGTTGTGTCTTCTCTGTCATATGCTGGATGGATATAGAGCAGAGTCTATGTTAACAACAACAACTTGTTGTCCATCTCGTTGCTTGTATGAGGGCTTGATGACATTTCCATAGCCATTTGCGGCGGCTTCCGTATTCATATGCTCTTTCATGAGCTTCCGCGGGGTGATTTGCTTGTATTCCTGCTGCTCCATGTCCATGAATGCTGTAAGTGCTAAAACATACAAATGTGCGATGAAACTATGCAGCCCAGTGAAACATGTATAACACTAGCTAGACCCCAATATCGACCAATAATAATTATTAGCATCATATTAAAAAAATTATTCTGTGAGCTGTGATTGGCTAAGTCAGTCCTCTGTGGCCTAAGTAGTTTCGTTTGTGGCCGTAATATCTATGCCTGTGGTCCTAGTACGAATGTCTGTGGCCATACCGTTTTCCTTATTTGAGCTGATTCTATTTATAAGTTTGACAATTGATGTACACAATATACCACAATATTTTTTATTATCAATTAGCATACACTTTATCAATAATATTTTTGACAAGACGTCGATGGCGTCCTGGGTGGCGTTGGACGTATGTGGCGGTGACGTCAGAGACAACAGATTGGCACAGCAGCGAGCTACAGAAGAAGCGCAGGATGCAAACAATGTAGTACTGTACGAGCAGGCACTGCGCTGCCAGCAGCATCAGCAGAGCCTCCAGGCCAAGACCAGGTACTTGCACTTACTTAAGGGCGACTTCAGACTCAGTCTACGTCTGCAATATTTATGTTATAAAAACCTCGCGACAATGACATTTGAGGCGCAATCATTTGAAGACGCTCTGGAATACTTTGCCTCGGCATTGGCACTGGACGCAACGAACGTGGTCGTGTGGTATCAGATGGCCACGACGGCCGTGGAGACTGGTAAATTATGGCTGGCACGAAGACTATTGGAAGAAGGTTTTAAAGTAGACGCTAAGTACTGGCCACTGGTGGAGACGCTGGCTCTGGTGCTGCACCAAATGGGAGACAAAGACGCGTTTGAACATGTAGCCAAGTATCTTGGAGAACAAGACCCTCAGTGCACGTCGGTGCACCTTATTGACAAGATGACGACATTGTCAAAAATGAGGCTGCGGTCAAAAATGAAGCCATTGTCAGGAATGAAGAGGTCGTGTAACAGGAGGCCGTTGTTAAAAACAATGAGAGAGGAAAAGGTGCTGAAGCGAGCGAGAAAGAGATTGCGACATTTTTAAGAAATTGAAGAGAGAGAAAAAAACGACGAAAGCAAATGCAGAAAGAAAAAGAAGACGAGAGCAAAAGCAGATGGAGAGTTAGGAGATATATTTTACTGCAGGCTTCGTGGACGAAATTGGGCACATTGTTGTTGGAAGCTTTTGAAGATATAAATAGAGATGACGAAGTTGATGTGATGCGGACGCAGGTGCAGATTCAAGTGGGATATGATGAAGAGACAGAGACTAGAGAAAAGAGAGAAGACGAGAAGGTGGGAGTGGACCAGACGAGCGACCATTTGCCGCCAATAAAGATAGAGAAGATGAAGGAGCTGCTGAAGCTCTCTCCTGGCCTTGAGACAGTGCTGATGAATGGCATTTCGGATAACGACACACAGGACAGTAGCAGTCATGCACGAGAAGAGATGAAGAGTCAGCCGAGAAGACGAAAGTCACGTCGGCATGAGGAACGACTGAGAGAAGAGCATGCTGCAGCAGTCAAGAAAGCACGAGAGCAGGACTAGCTTCAGCACATACGTCAGAATAATGCAGTCCTGATATCTTTCATCCAAGATTCCCAATGTAATTTTACCGTCAGCTTTTTAAATAGTTAAATCAACTTGGAAGTTGCAATTACTGCTTTGATCGTCGTCTTCGTTAAACCCGTGAAGTTTCTCTCTGCACTTAGTAAAATAGTATCGAGCCATCTGATGTTCCCCACATCGTTCATACATGCGCGCCATGAGCCAAAACAAGCGCAGGAATTCATCTCCTGTTGGACGACGTAAACCATCCTCAGAGTTCTCTACGCCAGCCAAACGAAAACAAAAGATTTTGGGCCTTAGACAACTGAATCTCCACTTGTGTTCTTATCTTACATTGCATTTTCCCACGGACGGGCTGCTGCAGAAGCACATCAAAATGAACAGGAGCTCTACAATTATCACTCGAATACGATCACGACGCGGTGGGTTTTTCTTAGCCGCATGAGGCACCAATGTAAACAACTTTCGGTACTCCTCACCCGGCAGGGACCGAATAATGTACAATAGTCGAGCCATCGTATCCACTCCGATCATTCGCTGCGAGCTGTCACCGCCATCGCATAATCCATGGGTGTTGTCGTTATCAGTTTCTAACACAACACGTATATCATTGATAGAACATTGTTTGGCGAGTCAAAGCAAAACAAGATTGATGGCTGTAAGCATTTCACGCACAAACCACGCAGCATCAATCTGTGGTGAGGGTTTGTAAAATGTTCAGACTGTTTTTGCGTGAGCCGGGCTAGCAAGAAGATCAATGCGGCAAAAGCATTTGTACACGCTTCATCGGGCGAGTTTTCACTTGAAGTAGGCTTTTTCTCTACAGCCAAGCCATCCAGAAAATCAATCACATAGTATAGAGTCGTCAACAAGAACAAGGTCGTATCTTCGTCCGAAAATTTTGAACTCTGTCCAAGTGAATGTAGCACCATTTCAAAAAAACTAGTGCTTTCGCCACGCCCCGAAAGTTCATCTTCGTCAACCTCAAACTCGTTCAGGAAGTCTCTCATCCGTGGCACTTGCTTACAGGGAAAGAAGTGCCCCAACAAAACCGAAACAACATGATCGTGGTCTCCAGATTCAAAAAGACGTCGCGCTTTTTGAATCGAGCCTTTCGTGATCACGGCGAGGCTGCTCTGTCATATCCGCTGCCGAAACGGTTTGCTCTAATGGCATTGTGCAGTATATTGGTGAAAGAGGAGGAAGAGATTGTAGCGCAGAGTGATGGCGAGACACCAAGACAGCTATTTGGCAATAAGGCCGTCTTATTCTTGCAGTTGTATGCAAGTAGTTCTCTACCGGACCCGAGTACGATGCTGATTCAATGGGTCGAGCTGATAAATCTTCTTCACCCACAGACTTGGGAAACATGGTATTTGCGGCTTGACGTACTTTTCTGACACTGGTTCTGTTGCCGATTCACGCAAAATCTCGTGCTTTCTCGAAGCAAGTACGGTGTTATTAAGCAAGTATGTGCAAAAGGAAAGTATTTGGGACGAATAAAAACTTACGAAGAAATCGGATGAGGAGAGTTATGAAGAAGCTGATAAGGAAGAGGGCGCGAAAGAAGGGAAATACCTCTTCCAGATGGAGGCTTGCCAATGCTATCGCTGTTTATACGACGTGCAAATTCTGCCTGGATGCGAAGATCACAAAACAGGGACCACCTTTGCTTCACTCCAAGATGGTAAACTATCTACTGATTATGAGGATGCAATGCGGTTGATTCGCTTTGCTGTGCCGATACTTTTGACCACAAAGGCGAAAAACAACAGCCAAAAGAAAGAACGACTTAAGTTACTATATGCAGTCCGAGATGCACTCTCAGGCTCCAGTTTTTTTGCTCTCTCTGCGCAACCGGCTGCAGTTTCTCCTTTACTAGAAGCGTACTTGGCTCCGAGAGGTCTGCTGCAGGAGGAAATTGCACTGCCGTTGCCATTTGATGCTAATGACACGACGACAGAATCACCAGATAAAGTTTGCTTGGGCCATTTGTGGTATTTGATGGGTGCAAACTACATTCTTGGGCGAGCAAAACGGAGAGGGAACCTGGTAGAGCTACTGGAATTGGAGCAGCATATTCAAGAGCGAGTGCAGTTTTTGATAAAAGATGTTTTGTACTATCATCCAGACCGAGTTGACTCCTGGGTGCGCTTGGGAAAGACGATGAAGGTACTATATCACGCTGCTACAGATGCGTTTGCTGCTGTGCTCGGATGGAAGCTCAGAGTTCGAGCATTCCAGTGGTATACAACCAAGATACTTGCCATGAACCCTGAGCGTTCACGGGAAGAACAAGCTTATAGTAATCTTGACGTGTTTTCATTCCAAAATGTCGTTTTGGAGTGGAACCTATTCAAGAAAATGAAAGAGTGGCAAGGTAAAATTGTCGACGAAAACAAAGTGGGTAGCAAGGCCTCGAAGCTGAAGGGTTGTAACGACGAAACGGAAGGAAACGATGCCCGATTCGAAACGCTTCGTAGCCAAGTTTCCATCGAAGAGTATGCTACGATATATATCGCTCAAGTAATTGAGTTTACACGAAGATGCTTTGATATGGCTGCGCAGTTGGACGAAGAGGCTATTAAAAAACACAATTTGAAACAACAAGGTAAGCGTGACAACGCTGACAAGAGTGTCGACAAGGAAGCAAATACTTTTGACAAAGAGCTGGATGATTTACAGAACAAGATTATTGAGTGCAACGAAGAGTGTGGTTTGTTGCTGTTTAATGTTTTGCAAGAGTTTAGTTTGATGAAGGAGACAAACCTTGCTTTGTTTCCGCACGAGATGTACTCGCGTTTAATAAACGATACGCTAACATACTGCCGACGGGGGTGGACAGTTTGCGAGTCCAAGGAAGATGCTCATGAAGCCCACTTTCGTCTGCAATACATGATTGGCAAAACATTGAGGAAAAGGCGTTGGTGCGAACTCCGTAAACACGAACGGTCTGATCCAGAGGCGCTATTTTACGGCAAAAGAAATTGCAGACAGCTTCTCTAAAGCGGAGTCAGCTCGTGGCGAGGGAGACAGAGAACACGCTCTAGTTCATGCCTTTTATGCTCTGCAGGCGTTGCGAATTAAGCTCACAATCAGCGATTCGTCATCAGTGTCGGCCCTGCGCTTGGTTTGTCGTCATTTCTACGAAGAGGAGAAAAAAGCAGACGGTGGAAAAGGTGATGATGATGAAAGTTTCGACTTTGTGTCAACCAAAGAAGTCAACGGACAGAAGAATGCTCAGAAAGATGACGACGGAATATGCGCTAGCCTGAAAAGTGATGCGGTCCGTAAATGTGTCAGTGCTGCCAAGAAGGACGACATTCTCGCACTGTTGGCGGCTGCTGACAGAAATGACTCGATTCGTGAATTAAATGTCACTTTTGCACGAGGATGGCTTGCACTGAACATTATTATGGCACTGGAGTCAATTCCAGACGAAGACTGGTACTTCCATCCATCGCGCTACGTACTGGCGCGGATTGTGTATTGGTCGTCGACGTTCTACTCCACACTGGAGCAGAGCGGGTATACTTGTGACAGTGTAATGGCTCTCGTGGATGCTGTGCGAGCTCATCGAGGTGAAGAACAGTTGCAAGGTCCTTCTGTCGCAGCAGCAAGGGCACTAAAGAAAATGGCTCCAATTTTCGACAAACGGCGGCCTCAGATTGTGGCAATCTGGTTTTCCGAGTACATTCCGCCAGCTAAGAGGTATGAAGAGTTGAATCAGCGACAAATGAAGTATGATTACTATCGACTGAAGTACTGGCGGTTTTACATTGCGCTGCTTCAGGAGAATGCAGCGTACGGAAAGTTAAAGGAGGCAGGATCCTGGGTGCTAGCTTGCAAGGAAGACCACGATGTGATTGATGTCATGCTTAGTGTCGTGCTTCGTGCGCGTGGGAAGGTGCTCGCGTTCTAGTTTCAAGAGATGTTGGACACTTTGGAAGGCGCTGGAGGGATTGGAGGATCAGGAAACGATGCGAGTACGCAGACGCAACTGCATGGAGAGAGTCGATCAGTCGATGGACTTTTCAAGCAGTTGGCCAGGACTTACACATACTATCTGGAAGTGTTTCATGCTCAGCGCCGACTGACACACGCAATCGACGACTACGAGTTATTGCTGGAGAACGCCGAGCTTCCGATGGTGGCAGTTTTCTTGGTAGGGGTAACAAAATACCCTTTCGAGATGATGGTGCTGGAGAAAGACGCAGCCATCTTAGACGGAGTTTTCCGCGCCAACGTTACTATCATCAAGGAAGCTCTCCGTCGGGATGACTTGCGTCCCGGTATTTACGACGCGCAAGGTCAAGATGCGTGGAAGGCCTACACGTGCGCTGCACACTCGTTCTGTGAAGAGAAGTGACCTGAACGTTCAGGCAAGGAGGGGAAACTTTTCAAGAAGTCATCGCGGCCAAAAGCTAATGCTGCTGCTGCAGTTACTTTTGTTCTTACCAACACCACTGATGTACGTCAATCAACAACGAATGGATGAGTTGATTGGAAAAAAGGGTAAATGCATGCATGCACATTGCTAGTGGATTGTTTCAATGGATCAATCTCACTTTTCTTCTTAGCTATAAACTTGTCCAGTTCATGATCAAGCAACATGCACTTCCATACAATGAACATAATCTGAATTGCTTATAGAGTTAGCTTTGCTCTTCAAGTCAAATCTCGAGGTCCCATGTCTTTAACCCTGCGTAAAAGTATTCGAGTGTAGCCGTCCAAACTAAAATGGAAGACTTCCCATCCAAGGGAAGAAGGTGATTCAAAATTTCAAGCTGAAAGTGCGAGAAGTTCTTTGTACAGTGAGATATTGAGCCGGTTGGATCGTTAAGATTAGATTTGCTAGCGTTTGACGACACATCCCGAACTAAATTTTCGTGGGGTACGACAGAGCGATCATAGGATAGACGATGGTCGCTCTGTTGTACGATCCAGTTCATGTTGCCATTTAACGACATGACCCGAGGATAGAGAAGTTTGCAGATGAAATGTCTCTTACAAAGGGCGGTCGTATACCCGGTCTTTACAGAGGGCCTCTTTGTACAGACATACGCTGTCCGTGCTGCTAGCAAACTCAAGGAATGAACCTTGACACATGTACAAACGAAAAGTTTATTACTATATTGCAGTGACAGAAATGTCCGATAGGAATAACTTATAGACATTAAACATGAAGCCACAAGGAATAATATTTTTTTTTCATTTACTGTGGGGACCACGACATGATCCGACCAGGATTACGTCAGGCATGTTGCAGAATCTATAGGGAATCAAATGCATATTGAATTGATATTCAGGAATCTGCATGCAGTGTCGTACAGGGCAAAATTTGGCCACAGTTGAAGAAAAAGATCAGACACCATCTTTGCCACAACAAAAAGGCAGACATCAAGTAGGCTAGAAAGACAAGTAAGAAGACAGTACAAAGGCTATCTCATGGACAAGGCGTGAGTGAGACCGTTGGACCAAATCTGATCACATGCAAGGAGCAGGTGGCGCCATGATAGTGAGGCCGGGTACTAAACCGGATGCTCCAGACGAGCCAGGTTGACTGATCCCTTTGACATGCAGCTCCGATTCGAAATCGGAATCTCACATCTATGGACTTCGTGCCTATTGCTCCCTGTCAAATTTACACGCTGCGCCATCAAAGATGATAAAGGGACCTCCCATCCAAGGTAAGAGGACCAGTATGCCGTCTATTTGAAGGCCATTGCTTTGCCAGAATTGGGAAGTAATGTGTCGTCACCTTGTTGCGACAAAAGTCGTGCGTACCACGAATGTCACCTTCCCAATTAAAATACCATAATGCTGTATGGAAACATTCGTTTCCTGGAAACGCTCGCTAGATCGCTTACATGTCTGTACTCGGCAAAATAGACTAGGATCTTGTATTGCCCACAAATAAGCGATTGGCTGTAAGTAAACCGTGCAGTCTACACACCCCGAACTAAATTTCCATGGGGTACGACAGAGAGACCAAAGAAAAGGCTTGCCAATCGACGACATGTCCCGAGCATAGAAACTTGCAGGCGTAATGTCTTTTACATTGTGAAAATTTGGCCATAGTTGAAGACACCAACTGCAACTTTTTCACCTGTTCTCTCGTTAAAAATTATGCGAGTATATTACCTGCAAGTAAGAAAATAATGCTTCGAGGGCAAAGGCGACTTGTGAGGAAGCAGTAAAATGTTAGACCAAGTCTACTTTGATGATCAGCTGATGCGGTCTGGCACCATAAGTGATGCGAACAGCCAGTAGTGCCTCTTAATATTATAACTCGATAAAGCTCCTATTACCTGTGAATTCTATATAATAAAGATAAAAAAGCCATTCCTACGACAACATTACAACGAAAACTGGCTGCCTGCACTTGGTATAGCCGCGTCTCTTATGAATTGTCTCAACATTCGACAATTTTGCAGGTAGCTGGCTCTTTACTACTTCTTCAAGGCTGTGAGGGGAACGACTCAATCCTGTCCGTTGTCTAGTGCTCATTTCACTTTTCATTCACAAGTTCTACCAAGATGCGTCTTCGTTCCACTTTGCTGCTTGCTGCGGCAGTAGCAATCGTCAACACCAATTATCTAGTTGATGGCGCTGTTGAAGAAAGGCGTTTGGGTTTTACGAACTTTTTGACAGAGAGTCATACGAAGTTTGCGAATCATGCAAATCAGTATGACAGTATGGCTAAAATGGTCGAGGAACATCAAATTGAGACATTGAAAGAGAAAGCAAATATTAATACGAACAAACGTCTATTCAAGCACTTTCTCAAGTATTACGATGATGATGAAATAGAATTTCTTAAGCAAATTCAGAAAATTGAGACATTTCCGGAGCCCGAATTCCTCAAAGAATTTAGACAAATATTTTTCATAAAGTGGAAAAAGCGTGGACTAGTACCAGATGACGTCGAAGCTATCGCTGGTCGATATTGGGCTTTTCTATATCGTAGAGATATGAAGTAAAGCGAAGACTCAACGACAAAGACCAAGAAGAGAAGAGGGATGTAGCTGATTACTTGTTTACAGAACTAATACATTTAGCTTTAAGTTCTGAGGTTTTTTTCATTGTAAGTTACCTTGCATTACTATATTCAGTGAGTAATTCGATTCTTTTTTGTAGGCCAACCGGTACATTTAGATTTCACTATAGCCCTGTCACTTGATAGAGGTACGTATCATCATGTTTAGACGCCGCAGAATGTTCGCTTATTGATAAGGTTACAGGGTCTGATCTTGCTCCTAGCACAGTGTAAGGTCTGAGCTCGTGTCAGGCGGGTAATTAGCAATCCAGCGGACTCCATCCGGCTATTCCTCGGCAATGCGCAGTTTCGAAAAGCTTGTGCTTGATTAACTTGATAACGCTATTGCTGTTTGTCGGATGTCATGTAGATTCTAAATAAATCTGTCACTGACCGATTCTCGACGAGGTGATTCGTCTTACTGCTCGCCTTGTATACATACACCTTTAGCTTTATAAGTGAAGAAGAAACCGAGACACCAACAACAAATGCGCGATATTTTCTCGCCGCGATGCTTTAGTAGTGAAATTGGCGTACCCAATATGTGTCTGCCTCCAAATTCAAGCATTTGCCACTGTTGTCTTCACCTTCGTAAAGATTTTTTAGCACAGCAACTAATTTGAAACATGCGCCACGCCAGCCGACCCTTACACTATGTAAGTCTATTGCTTACACTGTCAGTACAAGGCAAACTGAAAATTACCAAGCGTTCCAACACGATGTAACTTGAATTACTAGATGTCGTTTCTGAAGCTGCCCACGTATTCAAACGTGTCAAAATTCTCCGCGATATTTCCACAAGCGCTGATGACGCAGCTCATCAGAATGAAATTTTCCATCGTTACGCGTGTGCTGTGGTTGGCTACGTATCCCAGCAAACACTCACCATAGATTGGAATTTGCTGCTCAATTATCATCTTCGCTTACAATTGTACTGCGCCTACAGCCATCGCAATGGTTGCCGAGATAATATTGGCTTTTACCTATGGAAAGATGGTGAACCGCGTCGGAGGCTTGATGGCTGGAATAGTGGTACCGTCTACTTTTAGCTTCTTCGTGTGCGCAGTGGTGGATGACGACGTATACAATACGCTGAACAACATTGTATTGTTCGTGTGGACTGTTGGATCCATGTACGTGTGGTTTTGTAGCCGCTTTATGGCACTGACAGGAACATCGTCAGCACTCACGGCTGCCTCGATGTTACTCGACCACGGTTGCTGAAATACATTGTCTTAAACGACGGTGTCATACGTAAGTATCACCCAGACTGCCCTAGATTATCTCTTCCTGATGATTGTTGAACTTGTGATTTACCCTCGCAGCTTGCGCGGCCTACTTCGTAGTAACATTCAGCAATTATTGGCGGAGTATCGCCGAGTCTTTCACCGACGTATTTCGTCACCACATTGCGTACACGTCCAACACGCATTTCCACAGGTGCTATCACTGACGAGGACATTGAAATAGCTAATGCTTTGCGAAGGTCACACTACGATTAAGGCATAAAACTCACGATCAAGGCCGCAACTCCTGAGCTGCTGCAAAGTCAAGCGAGCGTTCTAGATGGATTTACAATGTAGCCAACCTTGTGGACGCCGCCGTTCTATACATCGAAGTACACGAAAGGTTCAGGCGTTTGCCGCGAACTTCTCGATCGAATAGATGTTTTTGTGGACCTCATTGACTGGCACGAAATCGTCGAAGCAGCGAAAAAGACAAGCTTTTGCGACGTTGGTACCAGAGTCGGATCGACGCTGAATGCACTGCAGCATTACTGCAGCACAGAAACCTCCCTCTCCGACTTCAACAGCTGTCGCAGAAATGGTGGGTGAGAAAAGTGCTCGGATTGGAAACTCTTTGTCACCACAGTCTCCATCCTCACCGCTGCCCAACGTAACTACGACATCGCCTGCTGTGGCAAAAATCAAGTGGGACCAGAGTTTGGCAATCATAGAGGCCAGTATTGTCGAAGCCTTTGATACACTAGCGACGTTGTTCGGAGAAGGGTTTTCAGGCTTAAATGCAGAAGATCACGCGATCTACTTGCAGATGAAGGAAGCTTTCCGTATCGCCGACATGCACCGTCGCGATGCAGCAGATATCTCGGAGCTTGGTCTTTTGCTGAAAAAGCTCATGCTGTACGCTGGTAACCAAGGCATCGAAGGAATGGAACAGTATGTGGACGAATACATGCTGTTAGTGGACAAGGACATCGACACTAAAGTTTCTTCGACGGCAAAGTTTCTTTCGGCGAAATCATGCAGGCGCTGAATGAAGGTTTTCGCCTGGGACTCGAGATCTACGATGATCAATCGCAGGTTCCGATAGCGGACGTGATGACGCTAAGGGGAGTACAACCTACTTCATCCATTGGCATTCGCTTGCTTTGTGGAAGCACACTTCGGTGCAACTATATTTAATCAATGCAGGCAGACGAATCTGAAGACCCCTCACCTCCTGGCAGACAGAAGCACGTATTGTTTTTCCGCCACCTCGACCTCGTCATTCATCCAATTTCGTCGACATGGCAGTTTACCAGTCATCAAATTTCAAATCTGCATTTGTTGAGGATACGAGGCCAATGACGAACTCCAGCGACGATATCTCTTCCGTG